GATACATATGTTATAAAAGTAAGATTGTAAGATTGACTTACCTGTGACGCAAACAGTTACAAATTTTGAGCCGAAATAACCGTTAGGCGAGAAGCGGCAGGGGTTTGGGTAACGATTTTGAAAGTACCCAGCCATAATGCATTCTTGAGCGGATAGAAAATGGCTTTCTATATTGCGGACGTGTTTGACCTGGTCGAATAAAACTGACGAAGTTAATCGCCGCACGTACGAGTTCGGTATTAAGAATGAATTATATGAGGAATAAAAGTGTATCAAATTACCGTTCCCTTCTTGATATCGTCGGCTATGAGGTCAGTGAAAATCCATCCGACTCTCCTCAGATTAAGTGTCCGGCCTAATTCCTCGACTAATGCTTCCTTCTCGTCCGGCAGAAGTCTTATCGTGTCTTTTGTACTTTCCTGACCAAGAAAAAAAAACAGAACAACGCGAACGTTACTCTCGATACTTGTTAACCAATAGTGTATGTTTATAGATTTGTTGTCGAAGATTGTGTACGAGCGCTTATGTACCTGCGGTGGTTCATATATGGCCGCAACGACTGCTCTAATTCCTAGCGGAACATCCGAATGTACTTCGTATTTTCCATACAGATAGCCGATACGTTGGTGCCCAGTGCTGCGCCAGTAATTAAGAAAACGTTCTACTAAACTAGCATTTTCGAACATGACGTTGTCCACGTGACGATAAGTCTGGCGGTTCAGAGTGATTGAGTTCGGTTGGCACTTGCTGCAGATTCCTCGCGGCCACGGCGGATGGTCCTTGCAGCCAGTCTTTATACGGCAGCTTATGTCGTCTAATTGTATAAACTTGCCCCTGCGACAAATATATATATATGATATATATATATATACATATATATGCGAGATACAGTCGAATATTTTGTCATAGCGTTTACAATTATTTCACGACGTATTTCACACGTATTACCTATCAACTCCGGCAGTGAGCTTCCTGAGATATGAATGAAAGGACAGATGCTTGATATTTTGTTCCTTCAGGTAAATTTCGTCAAAAGGTTCCAGAGGCGAACAGTGAACGCAGCATCCTCTCGCTCCATGCCGACAACTGTAAAAACAAATTTCTCTTTCTCACTTGGACACTATCCCCGAGTCGTTTAGATTACTTACAGTTTTTCATCGCGTTTACGCTGGATCTTGCCGTCCAGCTTCCATAATTGCTCATCGATATCATTTTCGACTACACTTGACAGAGATCGCGGCATACTGGATGAACGCGTTGTAATTCCATTAGCAGCGTCCATTGGGCCTGATTCTGTATCACACAAAACAATATAGAAACCTGGACATTTGACGAACAAGATGACGTATGTCTCAAAAATTTTATGCAGTTTTTTAGATTGACATAAATTTTCCTAACGAATGCACTTGATGATTTTATGTTATTATTTTTAATATTGGATAACAGCACGCTTTAATTTTAATTCTATGTATCATTTCAAGTATGTTCTATGTGTTGTAGTTCTACCGCGTGTGCGAATGAATCGTCAGTACCCGTAGAAGTGTTGTTGGAGGCACTACTGGTCGACGGAGCACTCCACAGTTGGGTGCCATTGGCTGGCACAAGGTAAAGTATATCTCCATGAGAAAGACCGATTCCTGACACCGTTCTACTTCGAGTAGACGTAAGTGGCTCCTTCTGACTTCGTTGCTTGCAGAGATTAAATCCAAAACTATTTAAATCGAAGGCTTCGTAGACCTAAGGACCAAGAGACAATCGGAGATAAATCCCACCGACAATTGTTCCACAATTATATATTTACAAAGGCTGTCTTGCGATCCATACCTTCTCGTAGAGTCGAGAAATTGTATCAGAAGGTAGCACTTCTATGCGTTTTGTACCCTCTGGTGACTGCACACGTACGATCTGGAAGTAAATAAACGCAGTGTATAATAAACAAACTCATATTTATTCAACAAGGGCAGTTTCTGAGCATTGTACACAAAGACTACATGCTTCTAACTTTGTGCCCTATTCGTTTCACTCGCGTGTAAATGAAATCTATTCGAAAACCAAGCGACAGAAAAGAATTATTCTAGTCACTTCTGTACAAATTTCCACGTTGGACGTTTCACAATAACAATTAAAGACTGGCACGAGGGAGAGCCCCTAGCTTAATTTCTCTCTGTAAAAGTTACATAATTACATTCGAGCAACTGTCAAAAATAGAGAGAGATCGGACGTCGCGAGCTTCGTTCGCTTACGTTCGTCGAAATTATTTCTCAGGAAAGACGAACGCGAAGGGGACCCAAGGACCAGGTAGCCACAAGGGGGGGTCTCGGGAAACGGGGCCCCGATCGCATCGCTCGCGTCTGGGAATTTTTCACTCGCGGCCACGTTGCGACGGCTAAAAGCGAGCGGCGGGGAAATGGGAAGATGCAGCTTCCGCTCGCGTCGTACGGGGGCCCGGGGGCCCCCCAGGGGGGAGGCGGGGGGGCCGCCGCGTGCACTTACGATATTTGACATCTCGCCGGTGTCGGTGGTGCATCAGCTGTTCAGCCCGCTGTGTCGTACGGGCCGCGCGAGTTTGCGTCGGCGCCAAAGTCCCTAGAGCGTCGCGGCGACGCTCCGCGCGACGACGAGGAAAACTGTCGAGTCAACGTCGGTGGGGCTGACCTAACCTCCACGCTCGCTCCTTCTCCGTCCACCTCGCGCGCTGTCTCTCTCTCTCTCTCTTTCTCGCGGTCGACGCGAGCCCCTACGAGTCCTACACGACGGCAGCGACGATCACCGAGCACCGAATGTCGCCGAAGACGCGACCACCGCACACGCGCCCCTCTAGTCCGCGCACCGCGTAAACCCGTCCGCGACGCGTAAACCGTAAACGACAGGAGTCAGCTGAGCTGAGCGCGCGCGACCGACAGAGAGAACAACCCAAACGGGACGCGACGATTCCGCCGTCGTCGTCACGCTCGGCGCGGTACAACGAAAGTGAACGAACTCCCGCGAGAGATCTCGACGAGGCTCCAGGCGAGCGGCGAGCGTCCCTGCCACTGGTCGACCGGAGGCGAGAGCGCGAGCTGCGCGAGTCGAATCGAGTCGAGTCGAGTTGAGTCGCTGTCACTGTCGCTGGTGCACGCGAGGAGTCCCCGGGGGAGCCTTTGCTCGACGGCCGACGCTCTCGACGCTGGGTAAGTCTCTCTCTCGCTCTCTCGCTTGGCGCGCGTCGTTCCCTTCGGCGACTCCGAAATTCTGACTTTCGTGACTTTGCTTCTCTCTTTTTTCCCTTTTTTTTCCTCTCTCTCTCTCTCTCTCTCTATCTCTATCTCTCTTTCGCTCTCTTCGACCGTAATCGCGCGAGCGACAGACGACAAGGACGACAAGGACGACGCCTCTCCTCTCTCGCGGCGGTCTCCGCGCACTATGCAACCTGCCCTACGACGGGGTAGAAGCGGACGCCGACCCCTGGGCGCACTTTCGAAAGAGCGTAGCGCCGTCGATATAGCATATCCGGCGCGGACGCGGCGCGCGGCGCTCGTGAAATCGGTTGCGCGCGCCGCGCGCGCGGGGGACTTCCGCCCGCGACTCCTGTTTCCTGCGAGACGCGTCTTTTAGGGTGGCGGTGAGGAACGACGCGGTTAGGGGTGAAGTCGTGATTAGGGCTGACTTCGGCGAAACTCTGTGATCAACTTGATCGGCAATTGATTCAAAACGCTGCAGAAGTAGAATTCCGTTTGAAGTAAGGTTTCGCCTGAAGTAGATATTCTAGCCAGTTATTTCTGGTTTATTGTTATTTTAATGAAGTTAAACAATT